GAGGAAGAGGTATGTGGATAGACCTCTCTGAATGGGCCAAAGAAATGAAGATATTTGTGTCTCATGTGAATGCTCACCAAAGGGTGACTTCAGCAGAGGAGGATTTTAACGATCAAGTGGATAGGATGACTCATTCTGTGGAAACTGGTCATCCTCTTTCCCTAGCCACTCCCATCATTGCCCAGTGGGCTCATGAATGAAGTAGCCATGGTGGCAGAGACAGAGGTTATGCACGGGCTCAGCAACATGGACTTCCACTCACCAAGGCTGACTTGGCTACAGCCACTGCTAAGTGCCCAATCTGCCAGCAGCAGAGACCAATACTGAGTCCCTGATATGGCACCATTCCTCAAGGTGATCGCCAGCAACCTGGTGGCAGGTTGATTACATTGGACAGCTTCCATCATGAAAACAGCAGTGTTTTGTTCTTACTGGAATAGACACTTTGGATATAGATTTGCCTTCCTTGCATGCAATGCTTCTGCCAAAACTACCATCCGTGGACTTACAGATGCGTTATCCACCATCATGGTATGCCACACAGCATCACCTTGGATTAAGGGACTCCACAGCAAATTAAGTGCAGCAGTGGACCCATGCTCATGGAATTCACTGGTCTTAACATGTTACCCATCATCCTGAAGTAGCCGGCTTGATAGAACAATGAAATGGCCTTAGAAAGGGATGGAATGGCTTTAGAAAGACACAATTACGGTGCCAGCTAGGTGGCAGTACCTGGCAGGGTTGGGGCAATATTCTCCAGGGGGCTATACATGCTCTAAACCAATGTCCAATATATGGTACTGTTTCTCCCATAGCCAGGATCCATGGGTCCAGGAATCAAGAGGTGGAAATGGGAGTGGCACCACTCACTATTACCCCTAGTGACCCCCTTGCAAAATTTTTGTTTCCTGTCCCTGCGACTCTATGCGCTGCAAGTCTAGAGATCTTAGTTCCAAAGGGAGGAATGCTGCCACCTGGAGACACATCACTGATTCCATTGAACTGGAAGTTAAGAATGCCACTGGGCCACTTTGGGCTCCTTATGCCTCTGGATCAACACACAAAGAAAGGAGTTAGCATATTGGCTGGTATGATTGATCTTGATTACCAAGAGGAAATCAGATTGATGTTACATAACAGGGGCAAAGAAGAGTATGTCTGGAAATGCAGGAGATCACTTAGGATGTCGCTTAGTACTACCATGCCCTGTGATTAAAGTCAATGGAAAACTACAGCAACCCAATTCTGACATGACTACTAATGGCCCAGAGCCTTCAGGAATGAAGGTTTGGGTCACCCCACCAGGCAAAGAACCACGACCAGCTGAGGTGTTTGCTGAGGGCAAAGGGAACACGGAATGGCTGGTAGAAGAAGGTAATTGTAAGTACTAGTTATGACCACGTGACATGTTGCAGAAATGAGGATCGTAGTTGTTATGGGTATTTCTGCCTTTTATGTGTGCAGCAAATATTTGTTTTCTTCACTTATAAAATATAAGATGTAAACAGGGCTAGTGCATTTTCCATTTTATGTGTGTTAGTTGTATAACATTAGGCGCAAGTATGACTTTATAATTGTCTCTATTCAGAGATTATATATGGTTTAAGGAGATGTGTACAAGTGCCAAGATGACAAGGGGTGGACTGCGATTGTTAAGGTTGTGTGTCAACTTGGCTGGGCCATGATTCTCAGTGTTTTGGCAGTTATGATGTAGTTTGGTGATTGTATAGTGATCACCTCCATGATGAGATTTGATATAATGTGATCACCTCCATGATGGGACATGCTGTGTAGACAATCAGTTGAAAGGGAGTTTCCTTGGGGGTGTGGCCTGCATCTAATATAGGTGGACTTTCTGGCAAGGCTCATGGGCTCCTCTTCACTCTGGGATCCTGCAGCTGGCTCCTGTTCTTCTGACCTCCAGTTCTTCGGACTTGAGCTAGCAGCTCACCTGCTGTCTTGCCTGCCGATCTTGGGATTAGTCAGTTTCCTCAGCCTGTGAGTCAGAGCCTTGGTGTCTGACCTGCTGATCTTGGGTTCGCCAGCCCCTTGCAACTACGTTGAGTCAGGAGAAGCCTCCAGCCTCTACAACCATGTGAGTCATTTCCTTGATATAAATCTCTCTCGATATATATTTACACACTTTACTGGTTTTGCTTCTCTAGAGAACCCTGCCTAAGACAGCTAATTACTTCAACGCTCTTTCTCAGTTTTCTTAACTGTAAAAACTGAGTAACAGTAGCTACCTCGTAGTTACTGTTGTCAGGATTAAATGAATTAATATATGTAAATGTGTTTCGAACAATGTCAGGCACATAGTAAGCACAATTTTAAGTATTAGCTGTTATTATTATTCAATTCACGGTGGGGGAGATAAATCTCAAATCCAGTCCATCCTAGGTGCTGTTGGAATGAATCGTATGTTTCCTTCTCTCAGAGAAATTAGCACAATGTATTGAAACTGGTTTTTCCCCCTAGACCCTTAGATGTCTGAAAGATAGTTCTTTGCCTTAAGCACTCTGGCCTTCTTTAAGAACCCCTAGGGCTTGCTCCCTCTTACTTTTGGGCCTTTTCAGTCTGATTACCTACCCATCCCTGTCCAAATAACAAATATGACCCAAGAAGCATTCTGACTTTGTTTATAAACACAAACACTGAATAAGAATCATACCATCACAGACAGATTTTTGTTTCGCAAGTAGTTTCTCACATGCATGCACTCAAACCAATTTAATTTCTTGATCAGTTCTCTATACAGCACAGGAAAAGAATATACATTTTTCTATTTTTATTTTACTGAAATTGTTTTCATTGCAAGTATCTTTTCTATGTAAATTATAAACAAATAATTGAGTCATCAATCATATTTTTGCACATATCAAATTTTACTATAGTTTTTGCCAATGAATTTCACAGGATCAAATTTAAATCTAAACATTATAGATGCAATTCTATTAAATTTGCTCAACAACTGTAGGCAGTTTTAGCTTCTGTCAGTTCTGTTTTGTTTGAATATTTCTATCAAGTCTAATTCTACTAGGGTCAATTTTGGCAATTTTAAATCTTACAAGCTGTGGTTCTTCAGTAAGTTTTTCTCTTTCTAGATTTATCATGTGCAGTGTTAGCTAGTCTGGTCTTATTTCTACAGTGGAAATTCATTCACAGTGATCTGAATAAACAATTGGTTGAATTTATTTCTTAGCTAAACATGAGAAAATTGTAATTCCCCTCATCAATTCTTCAAGACTTTTTAGGATTAAAACATTTCACCTCATCTTCCCTCCCCCTCAGATGTCAACTCAAGCATCAGTTCCTCAGGGAAGCCTCTCCTGGCTTCTCTGACTAGATGAAATTTATCTCATTATACTTTGTACATTTTACTTCCCCTTCACCCACTTATTAGAGTTTATAATCATATATTTTTATGAGCATTTAATGTCTCCATCATTGAATTTTGTTCCCTGAAAGCCAATGTTATTTTTCCTACTACTGGGTCCCTGGCACATAATACACTCAAATTTATTGAAAGAATGATAAAAAAGGCAAATAGTTATCTATCTTTTATCCTCAGTGCATATCTATTGCCTAACCAATATTAGGAATTCAACAAAAGCTATTTGAATTTCCCTGTTATTGTTTATTTCTGGTTTGTTATGGTTGGACAGACAATTATAAATTATTTTTATTTCAATACCAATTTTGAAAATGGAATTTTTCATGTTATATTTTAAAACCTTTAATAGCTATGCTACTCTAGCAGTCTTCTCTTCCCTACAGGACTGCCATACAGTATAACTCCAGTAGGACACACTCTATTATGAAGCAGGGAGTTGCTGGATGTGGTATCAGTTAATCCTCACTACCCCCATGAAAGGAAAAGCATTCAACTGTATCTCCTAGCTAAAATTGGTTAGAACAACAGATCTAAACCCTAGCTGTGCATCAAAATCTCATGGGATACTTTAAAAATGCCTGGGCCCCACCCTGAAATTATTGAATCAAAAACTCCAAGGGTGGAGCTGAGGCATGTTTAGGTATTAAAACTCCCCAGGTGACTGCTGAGCCAGGATAAGAGCATAGTGTGGGCGAAGGAGTTAGACATTAACCTGAATGGAAAGGCTAGCGTAGAGTATTAAGGACCTTGTATGCAACACTAAGAAACTGGGATTTAATTTTACATGTAGTGAGGAACCATGAAAGGTTTTCATAGGGTGATAAGTAACCAGATCTATGAGAAAAGTTAACTTGGCACAAGCATGGCTGGATGTAGAACCTGAGTCTAGGGTAGGAAGCTACTCTAAGCCCAGGAATAAATGGTGAGGACTTGAATTAGACAGCTACAGTGCAAAGAAAAAGGAAGGGAATGAGAAAAGACTTGGGACATATGACAGGACTTGACCAATGGAATGTACAGGGTGAGAGAAGAGGGAGAAGCTGAAAACCACTCCAAGATTTCCAGGCTAAGCAACTGGATGCAATTTGATGATGACATTAACCAAAGACAATGCAAGTGGAAGGACAGAATGGGGCAAGTAGAGTAAACAAACAGGGGTTCCAGATATGATGAAGCTGAAGTTCCTTGAAGGTCATTTAGGTGGCACTAGAATAACAGGAAATTGGAAATTAAGGCCTAGAACTTAAAAGAGGTTGAGGCTGAAATTTTAGGTTTGAGAGTTAACAGGGTATTTGGTAACAGTTGAGGCCACTGGAATGGATAAAACAGAACAGGGCATTGTCTAGGTTGAATCAAAAGTGCCTCACGGAATTAAAGATAAATCAGGCTTTCTTGTTAGCCTTACTTAACATGTAATCTTAATTTTAATAAGGCTCAGAGATAGCACCATTGGAGCCCTCCTGACACAGTGGTTAAGAGCTCAGCTGCGAACCAAAAGGTCAGCAGTTTGGATCCACCAGCCACTGCTTGGAAATCCTATGGGGCAGTTCTACTTTGTCCTACAGAGTCGCTATGAGTTGGAATGGACTCAACGGCAAAGGGTTTGGTTTTTTGGTTTATAGCACCATTAAAAATATATAGAAATTAAGGTGAAGAGTAAATAATGGTATGTAAAAGCCATCTGAAATTTGTAGAACAACTTTAAACATGAATATTGTATCTCTGAACTTCTTTAGAACACATTAATATATTAGCTTGGAAAGACTCAGTTTCTAAGATTATTCAACAGCAGATTAATCAAGTTAAGTTCTTCTACTATTATATCGGTATTCCCCTATATGAAACAACCAGATCTACCTTATAATCTGCATTATACAATGTAAAGGCAATAGAAACCATTAAGCCAACTGATAAAAACACAACATATACTTAATAAATGTAACTACTAATATCCAGAGATTGTCTTTAATCGGTGTGTCTATCTGTGTGTGTGCTAGTGTGCCAGGCAGTTTTGTGTAATTTATTTAACTTTAATAATCCAAACGCCTTACTGGGTTTGAAAGTATTTCAATAGGAACAACAACAAAAACCCCTAAAACTTAAGAAAAGATACCCAGGCCCTGCTTTTAGAGACTGACTGAAGATGTTTAAAGATGAATCTCTGAAATCCTCATTTTAAACAGGCACCCTAGGTAATTATGATGCAGGGAGTTTGAGAACTATACTTTGAGAAAAACTACCTTATACTAGATATACATTTAAAGAGAGATTTTTAAAAACATGTTGAGAAATGTTCATTTAGGTAACAATGTTTTCAAGTAACGGTGATATATGGTTTAAGTGTAGAAAATGCATTTTCTTTATTCAAATCATGTGGACTTTCTGCATATGTTAAAATAAAACACCAAGTTATACCAAAAGCTATATTTTCATTTTATTGTATTCCACTCCAAATTCTTTACCATTTACTGAAAATAGCTTTTTATAAAGCTTATTATTTTGTCTAAGATTATACAGGCTATCAATCTACACTTTTTTGTGTTTCTCTCAAAAATTAGACTAGCTTATAAGGATATTATATAAAACTAATTGGTATATTACACACCAAACATAAGTACAGATTCTGTACAATGTAATAGTATACATATATATTACAAGAGACTAAATGTCTTGTTAAAGGCAATATATTAAGAAATCTTTCATGGAAAAAAATCTGCGTCACAAAATGTGGTGGCTTAAGTATCAGCTGCTTTCCTTTCATAAATTTCTTTCGGTGGGCATTAACTGTCCATTTAGCTTCGTTAGCAGTTTTACCACGAGACCAGCCTACAAGGTAAAATATATATTAATAATACATATGAAACATGTCAGAATGTGTAAAGGACATACACGGCAGCGGGCAGTTCCCTATAAATGTGAAAGAGAACTTTCTTACTAGAAGGCAGCTTGTCAAGAAACAGTATAGAGGGAGTATCTTTCTACTCAGGCTTTTGAAGGGATTTAAGAAGTGACGTGCTGGGTGCAGCTAGTGGCTCAGATAGGATACTGGTCAAGGACAGGGGAAGATTACCTGATACCCTGATAGAAGAGACAGAGAATACTAACCAGAATTGAAAGAATTCACAGGGGAAAAAAAACCAAAAACAAAAAAAGAGTTTAATTGTCATAAAACCGAAATAAATTATTTAGATAAGTTTCTAGTTTTGCTTGTAGGAAAGGTCTGCCTCTTTTCCCTGGTTTTAAATGATCTTAATTTAATGTAATATTAATTATATTATGGCCCTTAAAAAAAACTTTACTAATACAATAGTTCATTATTAGAAGTTCAAAATAATTGATACAAGTATTTACCTGTTTTGTGTGTACTATAAAGCTCATCTTATTTTCCACACTATGGATCTGAAAACATGTATCAGTATCTCCCAAATGCCACATAAAACAACCATACTTAAGACTGATGAGTAAAGCCTGCAACATAATTAGAAATCATTATTGAAATGTCTATTTAAAACAACATCTATCTTGTCTTACTAGTATCTATGCTTATCTAGTCAGAACTAAACATAATGGTTTTGAACATTATAATAATAATAATGAGCCCTGGTAGTGCAGTAGGTTAAAGCACTCGGCTGCTAACTGGAAGACTGGTGGTTTGAATCCACCAGCTGCTCTGCGGGACAAAGATGTGACAGTCTGCTTCCATAAAGATTTCAGCCTTGGAAACCCCATGGGCAGTTCTACTCTGCTCTATAGCATCACTCAGAGTCAGAATCGACTCAATGGCAGTAAGTATGCAAAGTGCCCACACTCTAACCTCACACAGCCTGCAGCACAACCACAGAAAGGGTAGACTCTCAGGACACTGCCTTGAACAATGATGTTTTTTGTATCAGATCGAGAAAAATTTTAAAGATGCTTATTTTATCAGTATCTTTCAGGAAAATTAAATGTACTACAAGTTTTTACTTTCTCTAAAAGTTAAAAACAAACCCTTTAAATTTATCTAGTACCTTTCTTTTGAAAATTCACATAATACTTTCAGATCTGAAATTTATATAATAGAGGTAACATGTTGATTTAGGCAATTTTATCTCACAAGAAATAAGTATACTCATATACTTATAAAAATAAACACAATTTTAAAATTAACAATATAGTCTTTATAAAATCAACAGAAAAACAGAGGAACTAATTAAAAACTACTATTAGAGTAACCTATCCTAATATAATGCCATATTTAAGCAGCTACTCAATATAGCCTTTTAATTATTTTTAATAATAATTCTCTCTTAGAAATAACTGGCATTTTCTTGCCCTATTATATGTAGTCTTTGTATATACACACACAAAGAATGTGTACATGTGGCCCTTTAAAATATATGTTTAGAAACATTAGCTTTCTATTATTATAGGAGTTCTTATAATACTGACTATAAATAGTAAACTAAGGATATGTCAAAAAGATAATGGCTTAGGGCATTTTTAAAGTGAGGGTAAACACAGTATAATTAGTTTACATGAGTGTACATTATAAATAATGAGAAGACTGATATCATCTCTTGTTTGAAAAACAGCTATCTACATTCATATTATAAAATATAACTTCATAGACAGGATATGCTAAAAGAGCTACTTACCAAGGTACAGACTGAAAAATTGATTCAAGATATCATAGGAACCTTAAACTTCTACATTTTGGATTAGTCACTTGAAATTTAATCCAGAGTCAGACAACAGTCCCTTATTAGTATGCCCTCAAAACAGCTCAATCCACAGAAAATAAAATATCTGTGGTTCAGAAAGTCATCTATTATATAGAGGACAGATTTCCAAAAAAAGCATCAAATTCATACATTAAAAAAATTTTTTTAAAGGATAATGTGCAGTAAAGATGAAATTCTTGAGAAGCCCACAATAATGAAAACAAGGAGCCAAAGAATCCACATGGTGGTTTTGAGTCATTAGTCTGCTCCAGAAGGAAAAAGTAGCTCTCATTAGGAGGTAAAACCTACAAAGGCCAAATGTATCCCATGAAGAGTTTTACATGAAATTGAAGATATTTTTGCAGATAAAGGTGTTTATTTTTGCAAAATCTGTCAAATTCAACCCTAGCAGATCCTGCTGAACCTAAGACAGCTGCAGACAAGCTAACTGTTCTCCTTTGATGACTGGAAAACGTCATCATCTTAAGAGTTTTCAAAGGTACCATAAATTTAAGAATGGCTTACAAAGGACAAGGTAATGTTTAAATGGACAGACAACATCTTTACCTTTGGGCTTAATCATCTATTTACGTACCCAAGGAGAACATTTCTATTTCTAAAATTGAACATTTTATCCTGAAAAAGCAGACTGTTAACTAATACTGCTATCATCCTTCTGCTTGCTGCTGCTCTCATTTATTGAACTCCTAGACTATTATTCATTATATGAAATGTTATATTGCCAAACCAACATTCAGATACTATAGGAAATGTCTATTGTTGCCTAAGCTTGGAATGCTACCAAATGTCAAACATAAAATAGAGAAAAGGCTCAGCATCACATCCACAGCATCGCCATCCAGTTCTATGAAGAAGGGTTTGTAAATGTGTAGATGTTGGTGTAAAATGCTCTCAAACAGCAGAGGAAAATTTTCCTGAAATGGTGAGGGCCATTTCTCCTTCATTTAACCAGCTTTGTGCAACAGAAACAGAAGAGTGGTTACAAGCTAATAAGCAGCTTATTTTGTGTGTTGAAAATCTTTTTTTTTTTTTGGTCTCTCTATACATTTTTACTATTGTGCTTTAGGTGAAGGTTTACAGAGCAAATCAGTTTCTCATTAAACAATTAATATACATATTGTTTTGTGATATTGGTTGCCAATTCCGTGACATATCAACACTCTCCCCTTCTCAACCCTGAGTTCCCCATTTCCATTCATCCAGCTTTTCTGTCCCCTCCTGCCTTCTCGACCTTGCCCCTGGGCTGGTATGCCCATTTAGTCTCGTATACATGGTTGAACTGCATGTGTTACTGTTTCTTTTATAGGCCTGTCTAATCTTTGGCTGAAGGATGAAGCTCAGAGTGACTTCAGTACTGAGTTAAAAGGGTGTCCGGGGGCCACCCTCTTGGGGTTTCTCCAGTCTCTGTTAGGCTAATAAGTCTGGTCTTTTTTTGGAGTTTGAATTTTGTTCTACATTTTTCTCCAGCTCTGTCCAGGACCCTCCAATGTGAGCCCTGTCAGAGCAGTCAGTGGTGGTAGCTAGGCCCATCTAGTTGTGCTGGACTGTCCGGTGGAGGCTGTGGTAGTTGTGGTCCATTAGTTCTTTGGACTAATCTTTGCCTTGTGTCTTTGGTTTTCTTCATTCTCCCTTGCTCCAGACCGGGTGGGACCAGTAGACATATCTTAGATGGCCACTCACAAGCTTTTAAGACCCCAGACGCTACTCACCAAAGTAGGATGTAGAACATTTTCCTTATAAGCTTTGTTATGTCAATTTGAACTAGATGTCCTCTGAGACCATGTTCCCCAGCCTCTATTTTTGTCTGTATTTTCTTTTCCAGTTTCTTTTTTTTACCCTGTTGAACTCTGTAATACAAATCTATTAATCTGTTCCCGGTCTATGAATATTTACAGACAAATTTTTGTCCTAGCTTAGCAAAAATCACTGAGCAGTCTGATAAAACCCTCATCTTCAAATATTAAACCAGTTCTTTTTATTTTTTAAGGCTGCATTAATTATGTCCATAAAAGTGCTCAACAATTATTTGCCTTAGGCCCATGGTGTGCAAAGCACTTCTTGGAATAATCATCCTTCTTTTTGCACTCTGCTGTGGCGCAGTGATTAAAGCACTCGACTGCTGACCAAAAGGTCAGCAGTTTGAAACCACCAGCAGCTCCATGGGAGAAAGATGTGGCAATCTGCTTCTGTAGAGATTTACAGGCTTGGAAACCCTATGGGGTTGCTATAAGCAGTGGGTAGGCAGTCATACCTTACTTTAAGCATTATAGTAAAATTCTGGGCACACCATCCTGCAGGGGGAATGGTGACCGAACTCAAGCGTGATTAGGATTATGAAGTTTTTAGAAACCATATCACCATATCTAGTGAATAACAGATGAAAGAACTGAGGTTGTTAAGTTGTTGAAGAGAAGACTCAGGTGATGTCATGACAGCCTTCCCAGCCATTCAGAGCTTGGCTATAGAAGAAGTCTTGTTCTGCAAGAGCACAGCGCTGGGGAGAAACCTGAGTGAAAGGAGCCTATGTCTTGAGGCTAGTGCTATGCCAAATTAGAAGCAGGCCTAAAACATGGGTTCGTTTTCTAATTTTCCATCCTTATATACTTTTCCACCATCTTCTCACTCTAAAATATCTAGTTCAGTGTCTGATGGTAAGAATGGTTTTTGTATACTGTTTTGCTTAGTCAAGGCCAGATAAGAATAGTTTTAACAGAAAATGATAAGCAAATGATCCAAAGGCAGGCTGACATAACAGACCTCAGGAAATCATGTTCCAGGTCAATTATTGAAGTTAGTCCCTATTCAGCCTATGTCCCTACATAGTCTCTATTCCATTTACTAGCATATCTAACCACATGGTAAAATAACTGTTTCCCATTAGGAAGCGCCCAAGTTATCATGAAATGATTAAACTTTGATGGGTATATTTTAAGAACTACATGATTACTGATAAAGACTTAGAGAATTAAAATAAAAATTAGATATACGATGAAATTTTCTAATCTAAATTGTCTTTTTTTAAATTTTATTTTATTGTTGTACTTTAAATGAAAGTTTACAATTCAAGTCAGTCTCTCATACAAAAATTTATACATACATTGTTACGTGACCCTAACTGCTCTCCCTATACTGTGACAGCACACTCCTCCTTTCCACCCGATTTCCCGTGTCCATTTAACCAGCTCCTGACACTCTCTGCCTTCTCATCTCACCTCTGGACACAAGCTGCCCATTTAGTCTCACATATCTACTTGAGCTAAGAAG